TCTCCTCTGATGCTTCTCTGTTCTCCCCCATCCCCCTTCTCCGACCCCACACCATGCCTGAGATGCTTCCTTCTGTATCGCCGGATGCGCCACAGAAAGAGAGCAATAATTCTTGGGACAATATTCATAGCTATCAATTGATTATTGGTCAGATTTTTTAAATCCACGGAAATAATTGAAATGTCTATTAAAATGCATACAATTATAACAAAATAAATAAATAAGGTGGGAAAAAGTCATTTTTAATTTTAGCCTGACAAATTCTGCTGCTGGATGTGCATTGTGGTACCATCCATTTTAATGCACCCCAAATGCGCCTCCTGTCCGCAGTCGATCTCCTACACTGAATCACGCAGTACTGCAATGCCGTGTGTTCCAGTGCAGTGCAATTGCAAAAAATGTGCATGCAGTTTTATTCTGAAGTAAACTTTGTAACACTCCATTTGTGTATTTTATTTCACATAAAAAGATTACATTTTCTTTTTATCCGATTAATTGAAAAAATTAATCGGCCAACTAATCGATTATGAAAATAATCATTAGTTGCAGCTCTACAGCGAAGTGCATTGACCTAGAAAATATATAGAAGACAGACACTATACCATTTTTTGCAGCCTAGGGTTTTTTTTCTGCAATGTCAATTTCCTTACAAAAGTAAAGTAGAGAATGATAGATAGCTGTAACATTACCCCTCAACATCAGGATCTTCATCCTCCTCTTCTTGAATTATTGCATCTTCATCAACAGCCTCGTCATCAAACAACATGAACGAATGATTTTCATTGTAATGCAGCTTTTAGAATGTAAATACAAATGGAAGCAAGGGATTAAAGGCAAGAATGAAACAAATAAAACATTTCATGTTGTATGTTGGTCAACTTAGGGGTCAAGGCACAGAAAGATGACTAGTATAATAAAACAAAAGTCACTTTAATTACTGCCTAAGGGCACACACCACAAGATGCCTGTCATTACCTTTATTAGCCAGCAAATCATCTTCAATGTCCCTCTCTAATTTACTTTCACATTGCTCCTGGGGCCTGACTTTCTGGTTTTAACCCTTTCACTGCCACCAAAGGTATACAGCGGAACAGAACCACTTCCAGCTGGCCAGGTCAGTATGCCTTACATTGGCTGTATTCTCCCTTGCTATAAACTTATAACAGAAGGGTCCCCTAGACTCTTTTGAGTAAATGAATAGCTGTCATCAGAGGCTGACAAAGCAACTGATCAAAGCCATTCATTCAAAATCTGGTGTCCTGTTTCCCCCACTCTGATCTGTTCCTGCCTGTCAGTGATCCTCCCCGTGTCAGCCAGCAATCTGCTTCCCTCCATGTCCCTTGTGTGCCCCCCAACCCCTGCTTCTCTCTTCTGTCTATCAGCAGAAACAGCAGGTTGTGGAAGGGACATAATGGTCTGTTTAAACCCCCGATATTTCACTAAAACCCCCAGGTGATACCGTTAAATAAAAAAAAAAAACTAAACCCCCCCCAACAAAAAATTATTTGTACTCTACTACTGCTTCCTCTTCAACCAAATTCCATCTACAGCCAAAAAGTTTATAGGTGTCCAATCTCCTGTAAGGAGGGCTTACTCAACAAGTCTGTAGTGTTCCTCAGTGACCTGTACAATAAAAAGATTTTATAGTAAGGGCTATAAATCTCCTCTCTAAAATGTTAAAGGTTGTGAGCACCCAGAAACGCAGAACATTTTATTGTTTGTATCCTTATGACTCTGGTATATTTCCAAATTGCATGTTCGCTTTTTTTGTTGTATTATTCACTGGCGCCTTTGATTCTTGCCACTGTCCTCCTTTAAACAAAAGACACAAAAGCAGCCAGAGACAAACAAAGCTGTAAGCAATGACCCTTAAAATGAACCTGACAGCTGAGCAAAGATGATCAAATTTATTATATCAAAACGCAGGAGCCTTATAGTGTGTGCAAGTTTGTTAACCCTAAGCCAGGTTTATGTGGACCTGGCAAGCCCCTGGTTCAAACGTTCTCACTAACCTTAGTGCTCAACTTGCCCCACTGACACTGGAACCAGTACTTTAACCCTGCCACTCAATAGTCCCTCCTCAATGACCAGCAGGTGCTCCCACTTTGGGCAGCTAAACGGCATGCGGGTTCATTTTATGCTCACGTTCTCATTTACAATATCTACCTTTTGTTTGTTCTTGTTGCCAATTATAATTTACAAAAATGGAGGGATACAATACAGTCAACAATACAATTTCAATACAGAAGGGTTAGGAGGGCCCTGCTTGTGACAGCTTGCAATCTAGTAGATTACAAGCTCTTGCAAGCTTTAAAGGGGTTGCATATAGGTCCCCATTCCTGCGGTGTCCCATGAGCCCCAAAAATCTTCACATTGCACTCTGACCTGCCCACTCCACAACCTCACTATTTTTGGCCAAAGGTAAAGCTCAGCAGAGGGAAGGTGCCCTACCACGAAAACGTGTTGAGATTTGCATAACAGAGCAGGTTTCAAAGCTTCTGAAGTACATTGTTAAGGTATGCAGATGTATATGCAGGCATCTAGTAGTTTTCAAGGAAACTAGTGGGTTCACCTTGCTTTGTAAGGAGGCCCCAGGTACATAAAGCAGGCATTTTTAGGGGTCGGGTTGTTGCCAATTTATGTTTAGAGCACCAAAACTCCAATAATTTATTAGACAACTACAGAACACATTGCTTCCTAGTTGAAGAAAACTGGTCTACCCAATCCAACCATAGTGCCTTCCTTTTGGCATTTGATAGCCAACAGAAAGGCTTAGGCAACAACAGGATGCAGGCCAGTTATCAAACAGGAATCTGAACCAATGACAATTGACTAATAAAGTGCTGGGGTTTTAGGGATCCCCAGATAATCTAAAGATGGACTGGCATGGCCACCAGACACCTACGGCCAGACGTTGTGATAACTGAATCAAAGAAAATATTAATATATTTCACTGCAGTGGGGTATATGACAGCACATAGTGTCTCTTCTCTGAGCAAGTGTAAAGGTACTACTTACCACGATTCCTTCTCTTGATTTTAGGGACAGAAGCAGCAAGGTTGTCATTTTCTCAAGGTGATGAGAAATATTATCCTCCATAACTTCTGATATAGCACCAAACAAGTGGTAGCTGTAATATATGGTTCATTAAAATTAATAAAAAGAAGTAGCACACAAAATATGCATATGCATGTTACTAATAAAACTGTAATAAAATGTGCAGAGCTGTTATATAGCTTTATTTAAAGCCTTGGTTCTCAACTGGTGGGTCGTGACCCAAAAGTGGGTCCCGACCCTGTTCAGTGGGTCGCCACGTGCCTTCCACTTTTGAAGATGAGAGGCTCCCCAGCCTCCTCCTAGCGCAGCAATGTCAGTTCTTGAGCTAAGCAGCCATTTAAAATATACTGCCTGGTACCGAGTGTCAGCTTGAAGTGGAGTGGGCTGGGGCTATTGCCACGAGGGAGCTACTTCCATACATGCATTGCTTACAGCTCCCTCATGTGCCTGTAGATGTGCCTGGACCGGAATGACATCACATTCTGGCACCAGGCACCTCTACAGGGCAAGCAAGGGAGTGGTACAAGCAATGCCCATATGAATGGAGCTCATTCACAGCACAGCAGCTCACACTGGACCCCAGGCTGAGGATCCACTCTAGTTCTTGTAAGGTAGGAAGATTGGGTGGATCCTAAAAAAATGAAAAAAGAAATTTAATTTTTTTTGAAAGGGTGTATGTGTGGTTGAGAATGTCTGAGTGTGTGAGATTGTGTCTGTGAGTTGTGCGTGTCCGTCAGTGTTTTTGAGGGCCCGTTCACACTAGTGCAGTGCGTTAATTGAACAGTCCCGTATCGCACTGTACCACGCAATCGCACCTACTATGCGTTCTGGTGTGGGAGGTGCATTGCCATTCATTTGAATGGCACCCAAACGCTCCTACTGCCCACAGTTCAATTGCCCGAACCGGAATGCTCGGTACCGCAATGCCGTGCATTCTATTGCGATGTGACTTAATGATCAAGGGCAAATGTGGGTCCGGAGGTTACACAGGTTGAGAACCACTGATTTAAAAGAATTTAGACTTTATGAAGAAGCAAATATATAGTCTAGGGCAAGGGTAGCCAAACTTTGACCCCAGCTGTGGTGAAACTACAAATCACATCATGCATTTGCCACTGGAAGTCATGTCTGTCAGTCTCGCAATGCCTCATGGGAATTGTAGTTTCACCGCTAGGGGGCTGAAGTTTGGCTACCCCTGGTCTAGGGGCTAAAATCAGAAATCATTTAACACACGCATGCTGAACAAAAAATACAGTTAACATAAAATCGATTTCAATTAAGCATACAAAATACTTATTCCTCGATCAGTCCAATGCATGTGTGAAATGATGAAAAAGAGGCCAGATAAACACCCAATGTTTAAATACTTTCATCTGTATACAACTTTTAGAAGCACAGAAACCTCAATTGTTTCTCTTTTTTTCCCCACAACTTATTGTTTTGAAACAAGGTTAGATGGAATCCATGTTTGAAAGAGTCCATTTTAACATGCCATAATGTATAGTGTACCTTACTTGATGGTTCAAACCAAAGATTCTTAAAGTTAGGTCATTTGTTAATCGCGGGCAATAGCATACCTCTATTAAACTGAAGGTTGTAACCGATTCCCTGAAAGAACATTTATAGCATTAAGCTGTGCTGGATTCTGGTGTGCCCATGCACCTTTATAGGTGAATGGACTGCCTTTAGGCATGCCTGTTGATGAATCTCAACATTGCTGTGAAAACCTCAGAGGGGTCCTAAACTCTTCCCTGTTTTAGTTAGTAAAAGTAAAGCTTTTTTGCTCCTGTCTCTCTATGTTTGGAGAGACTTCCCATCATTTCCTGCCCCTCTGCAATAATATTACTTATCTGGTTAAAAGTGGAATATGACTTTCACAAGACACTTCATCTGAAACTCTTCACTATATAGGGTATACTGATACTCACGCACAACTTCTCATACTTGGATCATCGATTCTGTCACACAAATTGAGTCCTAGGAGACAGCAATCTTCAGCCAAAGGCAGGAAGGATTCTTTCCCTAGTGAGTAGACCAGGACAGCAAGGGTTTCTGAGGGGACAAAAAAAAGGCACAAATCACAAAAGGAAGCAATGTATTCACAATACAATATGTTTCAATCATCTTTACTTTACCCTTACCCAGACACTGCAGCTGTACTGGTCTCCCTTCTTCCCCTGTCTGCATTAGATGGACTTTTAGTACTTCCATGACAGGTGAGAAATATGGCCTTAGTAATTCTTCAGCACCACTGGCTGAGGAGGAAATCATAAAAACGGTCATAGACTGAGTTTATTACAGGTATTTATATAGCGGCATCAATTCATTCAGCGCTTTACATACTGCACATTCACATCAGTCTCTGCCCTTGAGGAGCTTACAATCTAGGGTCCCTCTCTCACATGCATACATACAAGGGCCAATTTAGACAGGAGTCAATTAACTTTCCAGCATGTCTTTGGATACAGTGCTGCTAGCTTGAGCACCCAATATCTAGGACCCTGCTCTGTCACATGGTTGTGGTTCTTAGCCTTGGGTAAGCTCTGACCAGCATGTCTTTATGTATTTGGCTATGTCTCATATATGTCTCTATATGAAGGTGGATGGGGTGTGAAGAAAAGGAGAGTATAGTAGCTTGTGGGCAAAGTGAAGCTCTGAATTCAGAAGTGATCGGGGCTGAGCATTTCTGTGTTCATGGTGTTCAGATGAGATCGGTGTACAGGAACTTTTGTTCATGTCCCACTTGTCCAGATTTCCCATCACATTTTGTCGCAACAGGAAGAGAGGGGAAATTTCCCACCAAAAAACACAGATGGCAATAAAAATCCGAGGAGGGGCTCTAACTCTGCCCCGCTCGATCCAAATGTTTGCCATGGCTGCACTACAAACTTACAAAAAAAAGCACAGATACCTGCATTTTGCTCGTTATTAATTTCAATGGATTCATTTTTAGATGCAAACAATGCCGAATAATACTTTTGTGCTACAATAGTTTGCAATAATGAAAATTTAAGCTAATATTTCCTGTGGAAGTGTTAAAAGTTTTCCCCCATGGCAAAATTTAATTTTCCTTGCTTTACCTTCAAAAAAAAAAAAAACACACATTAGATTGCACCCCAAGAATGGGAGGCTATGCCATGTGAGATAATCAGCCCATATAAGACTGCCAACACCCTACGCTGGCAAACATACATGTTTTCAGGGACTGGGAGCTAGGAACTGTTTGAGTATAAAAAGAACAGCATTATGATGCACTTTTTAACTTAAATGTGCAGGTAGGTGACACAGGTGGCTGCAACAGTAAATTATCCCCTTGGTGATTGTATAATCACACAAATGGTTAAAAAAGAAAGGGAAACCTACAAGTAGACACCTTGTATTACTATATAATCACTACAGGTTTAGTTTAAATGCCACAAAAAAAAGGAGATATGCTTCCTCACCAATAGCTCCTAGAGCACTTATTGATAACTCCTTTAATTTGGGGCTACTGGAGCTGCTCATGCACCCCAATATTCGCTCCATCAGAGTGGGAAGGTATGGTTCAATTCTGCTTCCTGCAAGAGGAAAAAAAACAAAATCACATTATAAAACCTTGTTCGCCAATTGTACGCTCAAGAAATCAAATTGGCGACCATTTACCAAATAGGAAAAATATTTCTCATGCAATAGACAAGAACTTTATTAGACCAAAATTATTGTGCTACACCAAGACAAAAAACAGCGATTGCATGCAAGTGTGCTCTAAGAATCAATTCTAGGCAAAAAGTGTTGATGGGCTTTGGCTGACAAGTGTGCGTTTGACATTAGTTTAAAATGCTTCTGTGATTATTCAGAATTCAATGACATATGTATTTGACCTCCTTCAGAACAGCAGCTAACCTGTTTCAAGCTGCATTTGTATTCCGCTAACGTGTATGGGGAAATAAGCAGCCATAGAGAGTCAACACTGGCCCTTAGTGTCTGAAGGAAGTAAACGCTTCAATAAAAGAACAGAGTTAAAGTGACACTAAACTCAGGAGTTAAATCTTAAAAATGCATTCAAGTACCTTAACTATTAACAATATTGTATCTTATTTGTGTATCACTTGGCTGTGGCTCCTCAAATAATCTCTGAATTGGTTCTGACACTGTCCTTCCTTCTGGAGGGTGGCTACTTTTCGTTTCCTCTGCTGATTGACAGCAGCAGTGGGTGGGTGCAATAGCCAGCTGGCTATTGCAAATTGAAATAGCCAAAAGCAATTTAGCTATTCATTCCTATGCTGTTTTTTTTTTTTTATTATTCTGATGGCAGCAGCTGTCAGAATACTAAAAAAGAACCCCAGCAAATAGCACAGGAAGGATTAGCTTCTTTGCCATCTGCCATCATTTCAGGGGGTGCTCTACAGCCCCACCCCCCAAGGGGGTGGAAAGGGCACCTCCCTGAATTTACTTTTTTTCAGGTTGGGATCCCTGCTCCTGTGATAGACTACAATCTCATATTTAATTTACTAATTTGTATTGAGATTGTAGTCCATCATGGGAGCGAGCTTGGAGCGTTGACTACTTTACAACACACACAGGGACCATGGGGAACAAAAGTAGTCACCCACCAGAAGGAAGGACAGTGTCAGCACCAATTCAGAGATGATTTGAGGATCTACAGCTGAGTGATACACAAATAAGATACATTTTTGTTATTATTTAAAAGGTACTTGAATGTATTGTTAAGGTTTAATTCCTGAGTTTAGTGTCACTTTAAAGAAAACCTGTCATAAGGGATACAAGGATGTTGCCAAAGTTGATCTCACCTTCTAAAAATGCCAGTCCTCTTACTTTAATACTCTGGGACACTAACCAGATACAAGAGCAGATAACAACCGACTTTTTGGATGCGCATACTTTTTAACCTCCTCAGCGGTACTCCCGAGTGTGGCTCGGGGTTCATTTTCTATACCACAAGCGGTAACCCCAAGCCACACTTGGGAATACACAGCACGTCTCTTACCTTGTCCCTCGACCCGTGCTGTGTCCTCCGGCCGATGCCGGCATCCGTCTTCCAGGTTCCGTCACTTGCGAGCGTCTGCGTCGCAGGGGGGCGGAACCGGCGGGAGATTCAAAAGTTTAACAAAAAAATATAGAACGAAAAAATAAAAAAAAAAATAAAAAAATCATACCGCCAGGGAGGTTAAGGGGCAGCGAGTCAAAGTATTAAAACCAGTAAGCCAGGACACAGGTGGCATTTTCATAAGGTTGGCAATGACAGTCCTCACATAACACATTTACTGTAAACTGTATCTGAAATCCTACAACAAAAATTTTATATTTTATAGTTTACCAGTCCTCAAATGTGGTGGTTCCATTAGATTTCTTTTTTCCCCCCTAACTTTTAGCTGGTTATCCTGCAAATACACATACTGTCCTAGGGTGAGAAGCACAATTGTACCCTAGGCTTCGCCCCTGGTTTGGACTACAAACACCTCTTCCTTATCTACATTACATAGAGGGTACGTGTTCTGTTTTTCCACAGAAGATAGCTGGTCAACATTGAGATTTCAGTTCAGGAAATTACAGACAGTGGATTTCTGGCAGGATCAACAGATATTTTTCTGTACTAAAGTACTTAACCTGCAAAAAATACAACCTAAGGTAACCACCACATCTAAGCGTTGATAAGCTGCAATATACAAAAATGCTGTTTTTGGTTTACATATACATTAAGCACAATTTGAAGGTCTACTTTATCTAGTCCTCCTGTTGCTAGCAGCATTTAGTAGATTTTCATTATAACGGTTTATTAAGTCACTCAAAAAGGCTAAAGATACCTAGGATATCTATGATCACAGAAATGTCCATAAACTATTCAAGAAAAATCCCCTGGGTATGCACATGGCTCAATATGCTGCATTCACATACATCACTTGCAATCCTAGAATTCTATACACATCAGTATCATTATATATGGAAGTTGTAGCCTCAGCTCTCACCAAGGTTCTCCACAAAGTTCTCAAGGGCGAAATAAGCCTTGGTGAGGTGAGACGTATGAGAAGGATCCACCCGTGACAAATACTCCAGGAGTAGTGGGAGTACAGAATCTGCATAGCTACTGATGTCCGGCTATGAAAGAAAGAGGCAAGAGGCTATAATGAAAAGTAATGAAAACAGTGACGAACGCAAATATATGAGAGTGATCAAAACACGTCAGGACAAGACAAAGAAAAACTACTTTCTTGCTGTAGATTATAGAACACATTTTCTTCATCCACTACTATTGTATGTAGAAACCATTGTATTCCTTTGATAGCAGCTTTCATGGTGCAGTTGGCAGAACCCCTTGTACTAGTGAGAGTACTTACAGACAGATAAGACATCGAAATAAGAGTAACACATGTAGAGCCAGTGCTGCCACTAGGCAAACTAGGCAGTAGTCCAGGGCACACTGCTGCCTAGGGCGCAGCCTCGACCAGTAGCAGTCCCAGTGTCAGTTTCCAGTGTGAAGTTCCAGTAAGCAGAGTGCCCAAGCAGCGGTGCGTGGAGGGATACGGAGCGGCTAGCGCGTTGCACAGGGCAGGCAGCACCAACGGCTCCAGAGCTGGCAGCAGCAAAAGCAAAGCACTGAGGATGGTGTAATCAAGATGGCCACCCCTGCGCTGCTGCTCTTATGCTCAGCACCCCTCTCCCAACACTGCATTGTCCCCAGGCCACCCCGGAAGCAACAGCAGCCACTCTGATCAGCACCCCATGGTATGTGCACCCTCTTGGATGGGGGTGGGGTTATAGCGGAGGGGTAGAGGGGGAGTTTGTCTGCTGTAAGTAAATAAAAAGGAGGGAGTGAGGGGTCCAGATGCAGGAATTTGGTAAAGGGGGTACCACAAAGCCATTAGATATGGCAGTTCTCATCATTGAATGTATGAAGTTGCCTGTACACAATGCTAGCCAACCCCTCTCAGGGCTAATGAGCAACCAGAACAGTTAGAAAACTTGTCATTACTGCCATTGTTCCGCTGCAATAGGCTGGTCAAGGAAACCCCTGCCTTTTTCACTGACATAAACTTGTAGGTGCTGGCTGACTAGGGCATTCGATTTCATGCTCTGCAGCAAACTTCAAAGTGTTCAGCCTGAGAGCAGACAAATCTCCCATGCTCTATGGCAACGACAAGGTGCTAGTCTGCAATTCCACCATGAAAGCAAAAAAAACAATAGCAAGTAGAAATGGATCATCTGAAAGAGTTAAAAATCTCACATGTATATCAGCAGAAATGTAAATATTAACCAGTTGACATCCGCGGTGTTAAACCCCCTTCCCATCCAGGCCATTTTTCAGTATTCAGCGCTGCGGTACTTGTTTAAGAACATACTACTAATCTGATACTTAGTAATTAGCTGAAGCAAATCTCTATCCCTACTATGAGAAATGTCCTTGTATGCAAGATTACATATACAGGTGAAACTCGAATAATTAGAACATCGTGCAAAAGTTCATTTATTTCACTATCTTAGTGCTGTGTGGTAATATATGCTTGTGTGTGTAACCAGTTTACTTTAATGGAGCCCCCAACAGCCTATAGTAAACTCACTTTTTCCCCTGCTCAGCTTTTAAAAGTGATCTCCAGGTATGGGGGAGCAAGGTGACAGATGCTTGTTGACAGTCAGTCACAGATGCTTGTTGATTGGCTGCTCAGGCATCCAGTGCTGTCACATCATGGCAGGAGGAGTCACCAGCCCTGTGTAACTCACACATTACACCCTGGAGTGAACACAAAGACAATTTGCTTTGCCCCTGGAGGCAGAACATAGCAAGGAGAGGCAGCAAAGGGAAGGCAACTATAAGCTGCTGCAGTGTCTGGCATTGTCAACCAACCTGCTGCTTTGCCCTTCATAAGCAAAGCACAGGTTCACTGTAAGCGAGGCCAAAGATAGAACAGAAACGTCCATCTGTGGCAAAGAGTATAAAGAGCATGAAGCACATGAGCATAAACTCAAGTTGTGAGGCAAAAAGATGAAACTAGACTGGCTAGAAAGCCAAATATAAGGAATATACCCAGCTTACTAAATGATCATTTTCAGAAGTATGGCTTATTTTCAGCTTTCCTAGCTGAAAATAAAAATAATTATGGCAAATAACAATCATTATACCTTATTGAATTGGGCTTGTAACTTAAAAAATAAGTACATTACCTGTAGATGTTCAGAAAACTGTCCCATGGCATACAGGGCTGCATTCCTGACAACATGGCTCTCATCTGAGATGGCCTGGCAAACCAACTGTAGCATAGACTGGAGGTGCCTGTAACAGAAAAGTATTTTAAACTTTGTATGAACATAAAATAATGCCATTTAGGTCAGTAAAAAACGTAGTATTAACCACCTTATAGGAGGAACGACATTGTCAGCACCAATTCAGAGATGATTTGAGGATCTACATCTGAGTGATGTACAAATAGGATACATTTTTGTTAATACTTCGGCCCCTTTCAGATGGGAGGTCCGATCAGGTCCCCCGGTCAGTTTTTCATTGGATGCCTAATACAAGTCTATGGGTACTATGGGTAGCTGGATCTAAACGGATGGGTATCCGTTTACATCTGATTGCCCCCGGCTCCGACCAGGTCCTGAAAAACAAATGGAACAGTGTTCCGTTTAGCCGGACCTGATCGTGCTGGATCGGGGGTAATAGGATGTAAACAGACATGTCAGTTTACATCCGATTCCCCATAGACCAATCATGTGGTCCAATCATTTCAGTTTTTTCCTCCATCGCAAGATGGAGGAAAAAAAACTGCAGACACGGATGCCACAGTGGTAACATCCAATATGTATCACTAGGGTGGTCAGAAAGGGGCCTTAGCGTAGTTGAATGCATTTTAAGACTTAACTCCTGAGTGAGTGTCACTTTAATATATTCAGAGTCACTGATCCAAACAAGTATGATGATCATGGGATTTTACTTTCCTGACTCCATGCTTGCCCTAAATTAGTGATACAGTATTAAGGCCATTAACAGCCTCCAAGTTTCTCTCATTAACCCTTTCGCTGCCAAGCCTTCCGGATGCTTTTAAGCGCAGCTGGCCACAACATTTTTGCAAGTATATATATTGGTGTTTCTATCAACAGAAGCAAAACAAACGTAGATACCTTTCTACTGTTTTTCTATCAACAGAAGGTCAAAAATGACAGTTCAGAAACAATAGGAAAAATGATTTAGAATAATACGCATGGTCAACATACATACTTGTTCCGGATGTGATCCGCACAGCCCTCACTGAGAACGGCAAGACACATAAGACCAGCTTTCCGCTCGTAGGGATTTTTACTAAGAAGACATGGCTCCATGAGTGGGGTCTGGGGGAAAAAAAGGTGGGTAAGGCTCTATTTGCAAAATGTAGCTACAGCAATACAGTAATGTTGAAACAATTCTAGTAGAAGAGCATAGAGGAAAGCAAGCCAGGCTCAAAGATTCAAACATAAATGTGAAGTTGTAATAACTGTCTGAGACAATTGGAAATGTTTTTAATGAGGATGTTCTACTGGTGTCCAAAAATATAGTTATAGCTTCAATCACTATCATTGATAGCAGCCATTGTATACATGGTAGAGACACTACTGAGATAAATAGCAAAGCCACAGACACATGAATAAAAGTTAGTAATAGCAGATGTCAGTTCATTTACCAGTTGAGAAAACAATTTCTCAGGAGGCAGATGAAGGGCCAGGATATCAATCACCTATAAAAAAAAAAAAAAATTCAAATTAAAAATGTTTATACAAAAATAATAATCATGCAATACAACTTTTTAATGCATGTTTTTTATCATGACAGACCTGAACTGCATAGTGCTTGGGTAACTGCACCTCTGCCTGATCTTCCAATAACTCATCCTCATCTTCCTGGTCTTCAGGGTCTAACTGCCCAAGTGGTGGCTCCGCACACATTATGGGAAAAACTGCATTGAGGATCTTAGGCAGCAACTTCTGCTTCAAGATGGACTAAGGGAAGATACAGGTCAAGTTAATCTATCAAATACAGATAGACGATAGAAGAAAGGAAAAGGAGGGTGCAAAGACTATGGCTACACTATAGTGGTTTAATACTCGCAATCCATTGTCGCTTAAAAGGATTGTAAAGTGGTTTTGCACATATTATATTTATTTATGTTTATATATCCACAGGCAGCTAGCAGCTGGAGCTCTTGGCTCCTTTACACTTATTTCCAGTTTTTATTAACAATCTGTTGGTAAAAGCCTGTTGTTATGGCCTCATTCTCACAGCTTACTGTCCGCCCATATAGATCTATGTGGTGTGCACGACCATATCAGGCCGCTCCCGGGAAGGACAGGTGCTGCATGCGATTTGTATACAGCAGCTTGTTCTTCTCTATGGGGGTACGCAGCTGTACGCTCACCCAAACTGCACGTTAGTGCGGGTACAGGTGTCCGCACTCGTACGCAGACATGGATGCACTAACGTACAGTTCAGATGAGCGTACGGCGGCGTACTCCCATAGAGAAGAACAGGCTGCTGCGTACAAATTACACGCAGCACTTGTCCTTCACGGGAGCAGCCCAATACGGCCGTGCACGTCGCACACATCTGTACGGGCCGGCTCTTAGTGTGAATGAGGCCTTAGAGTGCTCAACAGCTCAAGGTGAAATCTATAGTGAATGTCAGAGCAGTGACTGATCCCTTAATAAAGGACTCCATACTAGGTTCCAACAAGAGACCGTATGCCTAAAAATAATTACTTGTGCTTCCTTTTCCTGTGCAAAGGGGTATACCCCAACTGGCAGTAGCAACATCTTCATCAGGAAACCAGTAAAAGGTTACCAGTGTTCTGGAGAAATTACACATACGAAGATAACAAATGAGAACCACAACATTTATGAACATACAACATACAAAACATAAACCAATAACAAAACAGTGTAACCTTCGTGCAAGTGGAACAAATGACTAACTATCAGCCAACTATGTACAAGTAATCTCAGGGAAATGGGCAAAAGGAAATAGGGCAAAGCGAGATCAGTCAAGGGGACAGGATGGCAGAGGGAACAGCAGATAAGAGCAGGCCAGCCAGAACAGGTACAGAGGATGCAAGTCAGACAGGAGAGATAAGGTGAACAGGCACAATGCTGAGGCACTTGCTTTTTCTAAAGATGGGGCTAAAAAGCCTCCCAGCAGCACATAGTAACTAAGTGCACTGTTCTGCTGGCAGACACTGGCATTGCCTCAATATAACCAAGGGACCACAGTGCCACCAGCAGGTGTTCTGGCTTTCTGCATGCTCCTGACAGTCAACCTGTTTTTTCCTGAATTGAACCTTTGGAGAATACTGATATTTCAGGAATAAGTGGAGCCTAGTATGCTCAGCCACCTTTCTGGTTTTTACGTCCACTGAGGGCCTGAGCTGCACAATCACATGGCTGTTCTTGCCCCCGTACCTCAGCTACAAAGCTGGTATTCTCACACAGAAGACCTGAGCACCCAAGCAAGTGAGAAATTGAGCCAATAGTGTGTCCAAGCGATACAAGAACCGTAAGAAAATTAATTTCTGCATCTTTTGCCACAAACTAAAACAGCAATTTTGGTTGGAATGGTCTTTTAACTATATTTCGCTGTGATAAATCTTTGATATATTTCCTAACTTAACCCTATACAGAATCCTATTCATAATTCATACCTTTATTAATTTTCATTACAAAAAGGTACACAATTGTTACATATACAATTCAAGGTGTATAACAAGTAACCCATACCAAATGCAGGGTATTTAGTCAAAGAGTACTGTGCAACAAGTGCAAACATGACATGAACAGAAGTACAAAGTGTATGGGTATAATGTAAGATGTATAGAAATAAAAATGGTCTCCTGGTAACCCTGGCATACTGGGCTGTTATTTATGAACTACAATGATATAACAAATAGCTTTATATTTAATACAGCAATCTATTGTGAAAGAGGTAAAAGAATTAGAAAGGTTGTTTATTTTAAAGGGTAATGCCTATTTTTGCCAACTTCTGTGGACAACCTCTGGCGAAGTAGGTAATCCTATATACTGTAGGGGAAGGGCTTGGTTAATCAATCGTAGCAAGCTAGGGCAATTGAGAGGTTTAGAATTCTTCAAGTTCAGTGCTATTGTTGTATTGGCATCAAAGAAGAGAAGATGAAGTGTTTTTTGCAGCTCCCATCTCCTCCGCTAAAACGTTTCCCAACAAGCAGCTGGATAGATTGCAAATATTGGATTTCTTAGGAATAAAAATTGGCACATCATCCTTTAGGATAGAGAAATTTAGTTTGAGGGTATCAATATGCTCAACCGCTTCCCGGCCGGCCGTTGTAAAAAAACGGCCGGCAAGGAGCTTCCTTGATGTAACAGGCCTGTTAGTCCCGCCCACTCGGGCGCGCCGAGCGGGTAAGAGACATTTAAAAAACAGGCAGCAATGCCCGTTAACATACAAGCGATAGAGCCGGTGGTTGGCTTATATAAACTGCCGGCCCATGTCCCCCCCTCCCTCCGCGGCCCCAGTCCGCTGTGCCTGGTGCGAGCCCGGGACCAGCATAGTAACTCTCTGACAGGGTATCAGAGGGAGGTTGGTACACCATCTCCCTCCGGTCCCCTCTCCGGTGTCAGAATGCGGAAGTGTTGTACATTACATCACTTTCGCATTTTCATGTCACTCTCCAGCTTCAGACGCTGGAGAGAAGCTGATGAAGCAGATCTCTGCTTCATCAGGGGGATCCTAGGTGACATTAGGGGTCTTGGAGACCCCTGATGTCTCCATAAAGAGGACCTGTCACTTCTTTTGCTATCACATAAGGGGGTTTCTTAGCCCCTTATCTGATGGCAATAAAGTGAAGAGAAAAAAAGTGGAGAAAAAAAAAAGAAAGTTTCCAAAAATTTTTTTAATGTTACACATAAAAAACATTTTTTTTAAAGTCCCCACCCATAAATACACGCATGCAAACATGAGCCAGATGCGCATACCTGTGAAAACGACGGTTGCGCCCATTACACCGCACGTTACATATCGCGAACGTTGCAGTGAGAGCAATAATTCTAGGGCCATTAATCACTTAACACTAAACTGATGAGCTGTAAAAGCTTTTAAAGCGTCGCCTATGGTCAATTTTGTGATTTTGAGGTGCGCACAATTTTTAAGTTTGACATGTTTGGTGTCTATTTACCAAACGTGACCCCGTCTTTCACCAAAATAATTGGGTAATAATAATTGTCTCCCAACAATGTGAAAAAAAAAAACAACTTTTTTTTTGTTTTTCAACATTTTCAGTAATTATTCCTAAATATAGTAAAAAATAAAACCCCCCGTGGTGATTAAATACCACCAAAAGAAAGCTCTATCTGTCCCCAAAAAATTGTATAAAATGTATTTCAGTACAGCGTTGCATGACGGAATAAACGTCAGTCAAAGTACTGCAGCGCTAAATACTGAAAAATGGCCTGGCCGGGAAGGGGGTGTAAACACCCCGGCTTCAAGTGGTTAATCAGGGATGCCTAGCATTGCTGGATCACCTGCATAATCTGTGTGAGCATCGGTTCTTTCGGCAGGTGGTGATCGTACTCTGTCTGGGAAGAGTCCCCATAATCCAGAGGGTGAGATGTTGTTTGCCTCAGTAACAGATGAAGTGGACTCGCCAGCATGCCATAAAGGGATCACCGTCAGGTAATTCATATTTAGTGACATCTAAAGTATGTGACTGAGTATAATGTAATCCACGTATACAATATTCAAGTTATCTGCTGATAACGGTCAAAGTTTCCAGTTTGCCTCCGAGAGCTCTCAAACCAAACTTTCAAGCCCTCGAAAGGCTGGCTTTAAAGGCGATCCCACATTCAGCACCAAGGCAACTGCAATCTAAATCGTGGCTATGATGGCATCATTATCAACTGCAAAAAGATAGGTAGATTTAGAACCCCTCTAAGTAGATTCCCTTTATCAAAAGCTTCCATTACGAGGCATACAGTATGTCACTGCCCTACTGGTACAAACTACTAAAACTTTACATTGCTCCATCATGCAACTTACCTTGCTTTTGAGCTTAATGAGGAAGCGGATGCAGTATAGTGCCTTCACCCGTAGGTCATCAGAAAGAGACTTATTCACAGCAATCTGTATTAAACAATAAATGTTACACTTACATAAATAAAACTCCACTGCAACAGGGAAAACTTAAGTGTCAGCAACTGTTTAGTGTTGGCATACAACAAAACAGCTGCAAGTGTTCTAAGACAGAAGACAAGTCTGGGGGACTCTACATGTCCAAACTCATCAACCCCTTACATTTAGTCTGATAGTGTGCTTCCACATTTTCTCACTTGTTACATTTTCATATGACCCACTTATGAGGTCATTTAAAACATGTCAAGAGCCTAAAAAAGATGCTGCAGGAAACAGTTACAGCATACGCAAGGACTGCGAATAAACGAAGTAATGTCATAGATATTTCTTGAAAAATGTTACTACAAATCCAGTAAAAAAAAAAAAAGACTTGAGGAAAATTGTATTCAATAAAAACGTTAAGTGAAATACCTCAAGACAGAAGTGAATGACCTCTGCTAAGTAATAAACAATAACAGACACTTCACTTTCCATCAGTTCATCAAAGACTTCCATTGCTTCACAAGCTTGAACCTGGGAAATAAACAATGACAAAATAAGGTAGGCAACCAAAAACTGAAATAATACCAAATGCATTTACACATTTGTATTTTTTGTATTTAAAGACTACCTCCAGTCAACAAGTAAAATGAATTGGTGACCTGCTGCCAATACTCACCAGGAAAGAGTGGGACTTTGCTAAAGTCAAAAAATCCACTGAGACTGCCACAATCAATTGCACGCAATGCAACCTTGCAGTTGCTAGATTGTGTATGCCCTAATGAGCAGGAGTAACAGTTTACAGCTGATGGAATAGGGGATACTTCACCGGAATTGAGTTACGCTTGTGGGTCAGCAACTGGCATACCGAGATCAACCGCTTATCAGCAACAAAAGGGTTTTAAGCAGTAAGATGGATTGGCACAGTAGAACTAAATCAGAAACCATTAGCAGGGTTCCTGCACAAATGTCAAGGCTTTACTTTTACATTTGACTGGAACATTTCTTAAAGCATAATCAAATATAAAACTTCAAATACAACAAGATGAGTGCAGTAAATGGAAACATGGCGGGCTGTTATGAGCTACTGCACACATGTAACTAGGGTTAACAATAACGATTAAAACATGTTTTCTACATTGTCCAATCAATCAACTCTTTCCTCTGAAAAAGTGTAGTTAGCAGGTATCTGCCAGTCCTATGGACATGAAATTGTTGCTGAATCTATACAAATTGAGCTACTGTCATCTTATGTCTATGGGTAACTTAACCCCTTCATGACTGAGGCCCTTTTTTCAATTTTTGCACCCATGTTATATTCCACATTTTAGGCCTGAAAATGACGTAAAACCCCCCAACATTATATTATTTTAGCCACAGTATGAGACTGATCTCCTAGCTGATTCACACACTTAAGTCTATTCAGATCAATTTTGCACCAAAGTCAGTTTTATAACTTACTTTAAACAAATTTTCTCATTCAGTTTATTGCAAGGGGCACATAATGTCTAGCCATGCCTACTGTAGGCTGGATACAAAGCAAGACAACTCCTCTCCTAAACCAGAATCCTCTTAAGAGGCAGTTTCATATAATAATAATAAGTGAGATTTGCATCATCCAATGCCCAATTTAAAGGCAACATAACTCCAATTTTCTCTAATGCCAGACATTTTTTTTTAAAGAGTTTTTCCTCACAATAGTTCTCATGACAAGAATGACCAGTCATTAGGGAACACAAGAAACCTATATGGACAGCCAAAAGCAGTAACATAGGGGCAAGAAATAAAAGAGATTGTTCTAAAAAGCAGTGCACCCCTAAATGGCTGCCCAAAGAACATGGCTACCACAACTATGATCAGAAGATCTGGCCACATCATGTTGGTAGAGCTTTGTTAATGACATGGCTACTAAGAAAAAGCCCTGCACACCTTGCAGGATGTCTGGAAATAAATGAAACTGAAAAAGGACCAATCAACCTACAGGTGAACCTCAAAGGAAAAGTAACTGGTTTCAGAAACCAAGAAGTAATAAGTGGGTGCTACACCCGTCACACTAAGAAAGGTAACTGAGCCCATGTACCTGTACATGCATGTTCAAAAAATGGCACCAGCACGAAATATAGGACTTACCTCATTTATTTGAATTAACTGCTTGACAGCGGTCACTAATTTAGGAATCAAAGGCCTCAGCTGGTTCTGGTGGCAGGTAAAAATAAGATGAAGGTAAAGTAAAAACAAGTGCATAATGAAAGAAAATGCTGGTTACTATATACTTACTGTTTCATTACCAACAAACTCAGGCACAATGCTGGTGAGAGACTGCACAGTATAGAAGAGCGATGGTCCATTCTGAAGGTCACATAGGGTTTGATTAAAAAGTTTAATTAAATCTTTGAAGTGAGGATGGAACATTTCAGCACTGAGATCAAGAGCACAGCGGAGAACCAAGAGTCCAACCTAAAATAAATAGTATGACACGATTCAGGAAATTATACATTGGACATAATGGATTAAGCTCCATCATACACCATTTTACAACCAAAAGACAAGTTGTTTTAATTTGTAGTTATCCCAGGGCTTCTAGAAAATAGGCACATACGAGATTTGCTCTACAACAAAACACACAAACTAGAAAATACAAAGACATTTTACCAATTCTGTGGGTTACAAAGGGAAATCTACATAAACCTTCTAGGCAGCTTCACGTGCTATCATGCACAGATGCCTAACATTTATACTGACTTTTGGCTTCCATGTTGGAGTCAATAACCCAGAGCGTGTATGCAGATTAGGAGTTTTGACTTTACTGTGAATTTTCTGATTTGCAAAATTGTTCCAGCTCAAAATATTGAAAACAGTAGGTCAGCATAATAGGCTGCTTACGTTCTGCTTATCAAGTATGCCCTTTAACATGATGAGTGACCGTTTGCAAAGAGCTGCACCAACTGAATAATCATCATCATCATCTAGTCTCCTGAGAAGACATGAAAAAAACTCACAAAAAAAGCTGAAAGCAAAAATGTGATATAAAGCCAATGATACTACCATTTCTAAAATTGTCAGTAAAATAAAAATATGTTTGTTTAGGTAATGAAAGTAAGATGATATCATATCAGCATGCAGAGCTGTATGCTGATGTGATTTTTAGCCAAAGAGGGTAAAAGTCCACTTTAAGAAAAAATTATAGCGTGCAAACTCCTATATAAACTGAAGAATGAGGAACTGCCTCCATGTTAAAGTCAGCAGGAAATACCTCGGTACAAATAGGGACACTGTGGTTTAACCACTTGCTTTCCGGAGCAATTCCTTAAGGTGCCCATACACCTGCCAATTATCGCACGATAATCGCGGGTGATCCCGCGATCGTACGATAATCGGCAGGTGTATGGAAGGCATGCAACCGTTTCTACTGTACGGCCGCATATCTTTTGTCTCCCGAGCAGGCTTGAAAACCCGCCGAGAATCGTAAGATCGCAAGTACGATCTGCCTGTCCAAGATGGGCAGATCGTACAAGCTTTTAATTACCTTACAACCATCGCAGGGCGAAAGTGGTGCGATGGTTGTAAAGTGTATGGCCAGCTTTACTATTTGCGCACACCTGATAAAAATATAAATTTTTGGCTAGAAAACAGAGTTCAGACCCCCAATGATATATTTTCTAAAAGCAGAGGCCCTGTAGAATTAAAAAAAAAAATTGCTAGTTACAATTATTTATGTTGCACGGTATTTGCGCTAATATTTGTCAAACCAGTATTTTTAAGATAAAATACACTGAATTAAAATTTAGTGCACAGAAAAAGAATATAATGCACCGATGTATATCGGCCGCCAAAACATATCGGCCAAAAATGGCACTTTTGGCATAATGCCCAAAGTGCCATTTTCTGGTCGATACAGTGGTGCATCCTATTCTCTCCTCCCCGCTGGGCGAAGCTCTGTGTACCAGCGGGGAGGAGAGAAACTGTGACAGGCGGCCGAGCGCTGCAGGAGGAGAGCGCTGTGAGCGGCCGGTGTCTCTCCTCCCCACACCCCTCAGCCTCCTGTCACAGCTCGTCAGAGCGGTGTGTGGGCGGAGACAGCCAGCGCTATCACAGGAGGCTTCGCTCTCCGCCCTGTACCACCCTGCTCAGCCTCCTGTGAAAGTTTTCATTTCGGTGCACCTCTAATCATACCCAATTGTTTGGTAAAATATAAAAGATGGTGTCCTGTCGGGTAAATAGATACCAAACATGTCAAGCTGCAAAAAACTTAATTACCCCAAATTTCCCATAGGGGACGCTTTAAACGAGTTTACTGCTCATCAGTTCAGTGCAAACAGTGATTAATGACTCTAGAATTATTGCTCTCACTCCGCGTTCGCAATGATATGCAACATGTGTAGCGCAATTTTTGTTTCTGCACGTAGGTGCACCAATGCGTGTTTGCATATAAATGTGCGTGCACTTGGGACTTAAAAAAATAATGTTTTTTCTGATATGTGAGTTTAGCGTTTTATTTTTTTAAACACCCCCTACCCCACTAACTTTATTGCTATTACATAGGGGGCTCACAAGCCCCTATGTAATAGCAGATAGGGTGTGACAGGTCCTCTTTATGGAGACATCCAGGGTCTTTCAGACCCCTAATGTCACCTAGGGACCCCAAAGAAGCTGAGGAAGCAGATATCTGCTTCCCAGCTTCTTCTTCTGGCTCCTAGAGCTGGAGAATGTAAACAGTGACACCAGAAGTGATGTTATCACTGGATCACTTGTACATGAACAGCCATCGCCGTGCTGCAGCAGCCGTGTTCTTGTTTTAGCCACTTCTGCGAGCCACCGTATATAGACGTATTATGTCCCGAAAGTGGTTAAGGTAATATCAATTGGCAAAAAAAGTTCTTATGTGACACCAAAAGGACACCTACATACTAATTAGGAGACACTCATGTCACAAGGAAGCAAAACAATGGTATACTAGGAGGACTGAGAAAACATACCTGTCTCTGCTCTGGGATGTTACTGTGAGATGCCTGTAGCACAAATTGAATGAATTGCGGCCAGCGCTCCAACTTTTCATTCCTAAGGACCACTGCACATAGCTGTGCAAGAGCATGGCGAACCTTGTGCCTGAGACCACCAACAAATAAAATACAATCAATTAGGCAGAAAATACAACATTTCAAGCACACGTCTTACAGCCTTCCAAGGTTGAGAGACCTGGTTAAGAGAAGTACATAGCTAGCCAAAGATGGACCTAAACCCAATTTTGAGGTGATGTACCTTTAGTCAAGCTCCGAAAACCTCTAATCTTACTATTCCCGAGTGTGGCTCAGGGTTACTGCTTTGTTAACCCCCGAGCTACACTCGGGAATACCAATGGAAACGCTCTGAAAAACGCCCTACGCCCAAAGTACAAGAGCTTCTTTGGGGCGTTTTTCCGCGAGTATCCATTGGTATTCCCGAGTGTGGCTCGGGGTTAACAAAGCGGTAACCCTGAGCCACACTCGGGAATACAGCGTAGGACTTACCTTGTCCGCGGATCCCTGCTGTGTCCTCCGGGCGCTGCCGACTTCCGGGTCCCGTCCCTTGCGAGCGGCCGCGTCGCAGGGGGCGGAACCGGCGGGAAGTTTGAACAACCCGAAAAAAAAGATAGAGAAAAAAAAATTTATCATACCGCTAGGGAGGTATAAAAATGAGCGTCGAACGCGCGTTTCACTGAACGAAAAAACGAGCGTCAAACGCGCGTGTCACTGAACGAAAAAAACAAGCTGAAAAAGGAGCAGAAAAAACGCACCTATGGTACGCCCAGGTGTGAACCCAGCCTAAAGATACAATATCCTTATTTTACTAGCACAAATAAAAACAAAACAGTTGGACGCCATGAATGTAAAAACACACAAACTAGGGTCATGTGAATTTCACTTACTCTGGTTCTCTTTGAATGGCTTCTAACAGTAGAGGCTTCACACTACGAAATAAGAATGAGAGTTTAATGGAACATTAATTACACTACAAATTCAAAACAAAAAGTACACATAAAATAAGAGGCAGCGTTAGAGTAATGTACAACAGCCTGAAGCTGGCCATACACCTTTAGATTATCTGCAGATATTCTATGGTCAGATGGTGCAACAGATTCCTCCATCTATGCTAAACTGTGTGTATGGAGGAATCCCCCACTGGGCCAAGCTTCAGTATCTTGCTAGTCGGCCCCGCTGGCTGTCACCTGACCAATGCCTGCATCCAATCCGATTGTTTGGGTATTTTGACAGCCAGCAGGGCCGACTAGCAAGATACTGAAGCTTGGCCCAGGTGGAGATTCCTCCATCCACACAGTTTAGGGTAGACGGAGGAATCTGTTGCACTTTTTCCATCTGACTATAGAAAATCTGCAGATAATCTATAGGTGTATGGCAAGCTTTCGGCAAATTAGGCATGTCACTAAAGTCCTCAAAGTTGGATTCTGTTCAGCTGCTATGGCTTACATCACATGATGACAGCCTCTACAAATGTAACTGCTGGCTATACCATGATTAATAATGCTAAACTTGAAAGTATAAAGATATGCGGGCCATGCAGTGTGCAAGTCTCATGGTCAATTCAATATTCTATCTGTGGTAGGGTAGTTTAAACTAAGAATATTATGTAATTGCCAATAGCTACAAATGCTATATAGGTCAAAATAGGCAAACATAGGAAAACGCCAACCCAAAAGCATCCCTTTATTTTATTTTTTTTAAAGCCTGAGTCTGCCATGGGCCATTGCTAGTACAGTAGAACTATGACTACCCATTAAAAAAGCAGCCAATTATAAACAGATTCTGCACTTACAGTTTACTCTTGTTCCCATGCAAAGTCCCACAAATACATGTTGATCCTTTCAGTGACATCCACCTAATGCAGCTTCATGTGATGGTGTGGCAACAGTGCTGTCCTGCTCCTGAATTCATAGCAGTGTGCTTGCTTGCACTATTATGCAGCATGGTTATCAGTATGGTCACTGCTAATTCCTAAGCCTGTAGCTTATCAATCAGCACCTGACCACTACTTTCTGGATTGAGTGCATTGTCCCTGTTTCTGTAACCCTCCCACTGTGAGCTGCAGTGTCTGGGAGGGGGAGCATATGAGACACAAATGGAAGATGATTTGTCTGTCAGGGAACCAAAGGGAAGTTTTAAGTTGACTTTATGAGGCTTGTTCATCACACAGCAGACTGTCATGCAAGAGATTTTAGTTGTACTTTAAAGATCATCTCATACTGACCTCTGTTGCTGTTCCACAGGCATAACCTTCCATCGTTTACTTAATCGCCTGCGTAGTAAAACTGCAGCAAACTGGCGAATCTAAAAGATTTACAAGCAAAATGATAACAAATGAACATGTCATTTTTTTAGTAATAATAATAATAATAATAATAATAATAATATTTGTGTGTAAAAAAGTAAAACATGGGGGGGGTTACTAAAACTGGAGCAGACAGAACCTGGAGCAGTTGCCCATAGTAACCAATCAGCTTCTATCTTCAGTTTTTTCAGTTAAGCTTTAGAAATGAAAGCTTGAAGCTGATTGGTTACAATGCACAGATGCTCCAGATTCTATCTACTCCAATGTTAGTAAATGTCCTTCAGGGTCTTCAGGGGATTTCATGTACTTCAATTTTTATATGACAGGCTTGCATTTCGTCTCCTCCCTGAAGGCAATCAGTGCTACATTTAACATTCTAGCAATTCCTTTATCAAGTCACACAAACTGACTGCAATCATCTTTCGTCACACTGCTGAAGTTAAATTAGAATGGGGGAATTTATCAAGACTGGAGCAGACAGAATCTGGAGCAGCTCTGCATGACAACCAATCAGCTTCTCTCTTACATTTTCAAAGCTTAACTGAACAAACTGAAGAAAGCTGATGGGTTACTATGGGCAACTGCTCCAGTTTCTGTCTGCTCAAGTTTTTTTTAAATTCCCCTGAATGTATTTTCAGTGCAGACATTCAGAGTTTTGAATTAAATTAACACCTAAAAGTAATTCACTGTTCCTCTAATCAACAGCACAGCTCAGGGATCGAGGGTACTGATGATTAGATCAGTGTCTGGGGGGGGTTGGACAGCTGGCCGCTGCTTTGTAGTGTTAGGCCTGGTTCACACCTGGGCGTTTTACAGAGCGTAGCAAAAAAAGTGTGTCTTACTGAACTCCTTACCGGATCTCCTAGGAGATGATGTCTGTAATCGGGTGCTTGTAGTGACCACGGAGGCACCGTATAACCAAGTAATAATCCCAAAAGATGTCACCAGCACTCCAAAAGTAGAATCAAAATCTTTTAATGACAACGTTCATTCAAAATCACAAGTACTTTCGGGGCCACGTAGGGTCCCTGTCATCAGCCTGATGACGGGGACCCTACGTGGCCCCGAAAGTACTTGTGATTTTGAATGACCTTTGTCATTAAAAGATTTTGATTCTACGTTTGGAGTGCTGGTGACATCTTTTGGGATTATTACAGAGCGTTCCTACGCGCTATAAAACGCTCAACATGTGAAAACCAATGATTGCCTATGGGCATGGTTCCCACCTGGGCGTTTTACAGCGCGTAGGAACGTGCTGCAAAATGCCCTACGCCCAAAGAAGTACAGGGCGTATTTGCCACGCGCATCCATTAGGATACAGCCGGATGGCCCTCGGAAACGCGCATTTGTTGCGCTGTTTTTTTACCGCTTATCGCGGTAAAAACGCGCAGCACGAAACACGCGGCAAACGCGCATATTTGGTACGCCTAGGTGTGAACCCAGCCTTACAGTTATACTTATTGAAGGGAATTTTTTCAAAACTGGAGCATACATAATCTGGATCAGCTGTGCATGGCAACCAATCAGCTTCTCTCTTTCATTATCAAATCTTAACTGAACAAACTGAAGAGAAAAGCTGATTGGTTGCCAGGCACAGTTGCTCCAGTTTTGATAAACTCCCCCCATAGTGTTGATACACCCCTCTTTGTTTTTATTGTAAAAAATCTTTATTTCACAAATAACCATACAGTCTATTATAATTTGCTTTAATGACACATCCTATACAGAGGATTCTGTCTGCTTGAATACAAAAAAAAAAATTATTTAACTAAAAAGATGTAAATATATTCTTATAAAATTGTTAGCTACTGAATATTACAAAATAAAAAAGAAGAAAACACACATCCCATTTAAAATACTTTTGCTCACCTTAGGTTTAGTATTTCATACTGTATTAAAATGATTGTAATTTACTGCCTATGAGCTTTAAATGTACTGGATGTTGCTTTTGAAGCTCCTATTCACAAAGTGCATATAGCTAGGATTTTCATGCATCAGCATATGTGGATTAACCAGGCTTACTAATGATTGAGTCAGCTACATGTAGATGTACCAGCAGGCTAGAGGTCCTCTATTCAGCTTTTCCATTTATTCGAATTCTGGTTACAAAGATTGTACAAACCAGTCTGTCATTTCTACAGAAAATTCTTCTTAATGCACTACACATTTTTAGGAGATTTAGGGGTTACAACTCAAAGACAGACTTAAAAAAAAAACAAATTAGAGCGTAAAGATATGAAAACCGCCATGACTGACCTCTCCTAAATATGCTAGCTTCCTGGCTGTTATACTGATCCTTTTTCTCTGAATCACTAATGTGGAACAAGAGTGCAGATCAGGAGATCTGACTTCACTTACTACATACTTGCCCTGGGTTACTGACTGCAAGTACTGATGCCAGAGACAGCCAGGCTAGTTAGAATTGGCAGACCCCAGATTTCCCTGAGTGTAGGTTTCTTAAAAGCAGAACTCCAGGATACCCACGCACTGCAAGGGTTAAGTGCTTGTTTTACTCTAGGCTAAAAAAATAACAAAGTTATACTCACTCGAAGCTCAGAGCCCACCAACTGTCAAGTGCTCCCTCCAGCCTCTCTCTCCCTCCATTGCAGCATTGGAATGTTGCTTAGCGTCCTCATGGCTATACACTGTATATAGAACATGATGATTTATGGGACTTAAGACTGCGGAGGAGGAGGAGGAAGAAGAGAGGTCCCAGGGACCGGTTTACGAACAATCCGACTAAACAGTTCAGGTCAGTATAACTTTTTTTTTTTTTAACCTAGACTAAAACGAGCACTTAACATTTTCCAGTATGGGGGGAGTCCTGCTGCAAGGGTTAATAAAAATGTTTCCTGGAGTTCTCCTTTAAAGCAAGTAACTTCTCAATGTTTCTGCGGTTATACACATTTTTAAACTCGGAAAGAAAGAGCTGGTATAAGCAGCTGTCTACAGACAAGGGGAATACTCATTTTCAAGTGTTAGGACAGAAGGAGTTTCTGCAAGTAAAGACATGAAAGTCTGATAAGTTAAAAGCTCCATCTGGGGGCAGTAGTGCTCTGCAGACAGCATCCACCCAGCAAACATATATAAATGAACCCCTTAGGGCACACACAATGCAGTCACATGTGCTGTGCTGCACCAGATCAGTACAGGTCACTGCTAGGACACATAGAAAACATTTGTTTTCTATGTGTCCCATTCACATTACAACATTGGGCACTGCGCTACAATGCAAACATACTATATTTTATCGCAGTGCCTTGCGGGGGCGTAAATGGAGTGTACACATTGTACACTGCACATAAAGTTGACAGAAAAAAAAAATGTAAACATCGACAGCTCCGGCAGTGTGCGATACAATGCTTACTACCAGAGCTGTCACAGCGCATTGCCCGCCCCTTACACCTCTTTCGCCCATTCACAGAACTCTAAGTTTTCTTTCTCACAATGCAAAGCATTCTGTGAATGGAGGACGGGTGGATGAATGGATGAAGGATCTGTCTCCTCCACTTACAGAACGCTTTGCATTGTGGAAAAAAATACAAGTTCTGTGAATGGGCGAGAGAGAAGGAAATGGAGGGCGAGTGGCATCAATGATTCACAGTTGCAGCTGCTAATCTTAACCCCTGCAGCTCCAGAAGATCAGTGCTGTGGGGAGTATCCGGCGGCAGTGGAGGGAACATTTCTACACTAAGCAGCAGCCAGTAGGACATGGGACACATATTAGAGCTGCAGCTAACTATTATTTTCAAACTCGATTAGTTAGCCGATTATTACGTTCGATTAAATCGGATAAACAATAAAATAAAGTTTAAAAAATGGCTCCAGTGATGGACTACTAGTTTGTATTGAGGTTGTAGTCCATCTATATCATTAGAGCAAAGTTTTGTGCCTGGTGCTTTCAGGTCATTAAACAATGACATTGCTTACTCTTTCCCTTTCGTCCTCCAGAACAGCTTGCGAGAGATAGGCTCCACCCCTTTTAACAGGAAACACGTCACCCTCAGTTGTTTAAAAGGCCCGCCTCTCTCCTAGCTCCTCAGTTTTCCTGTAGTTGACTACGTTTTTGTTTATTTCCTCCACCTGGGGCTCCTTGGTGTTGGGCTTAAGGTGCGAGGGGGCACTAGAGCGTTAGATTACCGATTCTGTCCTTTTCTGTGTTGCAGGTCCAAGTGGCTAAAGGCAAGGTCCTTAAAAGGAAGTGGGCAGTCTGCTCCATAAAGCTGGGGTCAGATTGGAAAAAGCTTCTTTGTCAAAAATGCATCGAAGGGGTATGCAGGGAAGAGTCTACCTCGGCGTGTAGTAGCCTACTGTTCACTGGAACCTCCAGCTCTTACTCAGCAGCCCCAGACAACATCCAGGTCAGGTGGGGTCTGTCAGAGGGAGTCAGAGGAGGTTGATGTTGCTGCATCCTCTCAGCAGGGGTCTTCTGCTGAAGAGGACAGGGATGATGGTCCCCTTGTCTCTAAATACAAGCCATCTCTGGAAGAGGTGGGGGAATTATTAGGTGCCGTATATGATACCCTGGATATTCAGGAAGAGAAGGTGCTGCTGTCTAGGCACGATTTAATGTACCAAGGACTTCAGCAGCAAAAGGCCAGAGTTTTTCCGGTGCACAAAGTGCTCGCGGACACCATCTTTAAGGAATGGTCCGAACCAGAGAGGAAACCTCTTTTTTCCAGCAATTTGAAAAGACGTTTTCCTTTCGACGAGCATACATGGAACAAGGTTCCTAAAATTGATGCATCATTGTCAAAGATTTCTAGGAAATGGGATCTGGCATTTGAAGATATGGGGGTGCTCAAAGACCCTATGGATAGAAAGGCAGAGGTGTTGCTTAAAAGGGCATGGGACTCTGCTAGTACTAGTCTCAGGCCGGCTTTGGCAACGACATGCGTTGCCAGGAACCTAGAGTTTTGGCTTACCCAACTGCAGAGCCACTTGGTGGCAGGGACCCAGAGGGAACAGATCATAGATTCCCTACTGATGCTGTTTAAAGCAATAGCATTTATGGCGGACGCTTCAGCTGACTCTGTCAAAATGGCGGCCAGGTCCGGAGCCCTGATCAACTCCTCCCGTAGGGCAATTTGGTTGAAGGCTTGGGAGGGGGATGCAGCTTCGAAGTTGAGGCTTTGCAATCTTCCGTTTAGGGGCGATCTTCTTTTTGGGCCGGAACTGGAGGCCGTATTGGAACGTACGGCAGATAAAAAGAAATCATTTCCCGAAAAAAAGAAGCCCTTTTGTAGGTTTTTTAAAAGGACCAAGGAACAAGGGCCAGAATGCGAAAGGGGAGATCCCCAAAAAACACTGGACGGGGCAGGAAGGCAAGGGAAGTATTTTTACTAACCCTCCCTCCCAGGCACCAAAGCAGCAATGACTACTGCGTGAGGGTGGGGGGAAGGCTGACGGAGTTCCTCCCCCGTTGGAGGAGCATTACTTCCAATCAGTACATACTCAACCTCATCCAGGAGGGGTACAGGTTGGAATTCTGCGACACTCCACCCCACCGTTTCTTGAGCACGAATCTCCCAAGGAATGCGGACAGAGCCAAATATATTTGCCTTCTATTGGGAGAATTGGTGGATCAGAAAGTGCTCATTCAGGTACCAGAACAGGAGAAGGGTCAGGGACTGCATTCTCATGTTTTTGTGGTCCAAAAACCGTCAGGGAAGTACAGGCTGATTCTCAATCTCAAACTCTTGAACTTGGCAATCAGGTACAAGAGGTTTCGAATGGACTCCATTTTTTCGGTCCGAAACCTGTTGCAAAAAGATTCTTTTTTAGCGACGCTGGATTTGAGAGATGCTTATCTCCACATTCCCATTCACAGGATGTCCCAAGTGTTTTTGCGTCTGGCGGTAAGGATAGGTCAGGAGGTGGTGCATTACCAGTTCAGGGCCCTCCCGTTCGGGTTGTCTTCGGCACCTCGCATTTTACCAAAGTATTGGAGGAGGCATTGGCTCCTTTAAAGGACGCCAGGTGTTGGAATCATCCCATATTTAGACGACATTCTCCTGTCCGCCAGCTCTTTGTACAAGAAACCTGGAGATGACGCAGAGTTGGTTGCAGGACCTGGGATGGGTGATACATTTTCAGAAATCAAACTTAGTTCCTTCCCAGATCTCAGTATTTTTAGGTTACATCCTGAATACGATACAACAGAGGACTTTTCTCCCAGCTGAGAAAATTAAAAAAATGGGAAAGGCAGTGAGTCGCTTGCAGACGAATTGCCCCGCATCCCTAAGGGAAGTTATGTCGGGGCTGGGTCTTATGACCTCATGTTTACCGGCTGTCCAGTGGGCAAGGTTTCACCAGAGCGCTCTCCAACGGTTTCTGTTGAGGGTGTGGGACCATTCCCAGGAGAGCTTGGGCGCCACAGTCAGGCTTCCCCCTTCAGTGAGGAGGAGCTTATGGTGGTGGAGAGATCAAGGTCGACTATCGGGAGGACTTCAGTGGTCTCTTCAAGCTACCATAAGGATGACTACGGACGCAAGTGCATGGGGATGGGGAGCACACCTGCATGTCCTCCAACTGGGGGGAGCTGCGAGCGGTTCTGAACGCAATTCTGGGGTTTCACGATCAGCTCAGACATCAGCATCTGATGGTGCTATCAGACAACGTAGCCACTGTGTGTTATCTGAACAAACAGGGGGGCACCAGGAGTTCCTTCCTTCAGGCAATCGCGAAGGAGATTTTTGTTTGGGCAGAAGCGAACCTGTTTTCTCTCTCGGCAGTGCATCTAAAGGGAACACAGAATACGCTGGCAGATTATCTAAGTCGGGTCCAGGTCTTCCTGGACGAATGGAGCCTGGATTAGGAGGTTTTCAACCTCCTATCCCGGGAGTGGGGTTTACCGCAAGTAGATCTGTTTGCCACTCAGTCCAACACAAAGTTGGAACACTTTTTTCCCCTGAATGCAGCGGACAACGCAGTAGAGGTGGATGCGCTGTCGCATCTGTGGGAGTATCACCTGTGTTACGCATTTCCTCCCATTCATTTAATTCCACGGGTTCTGCAGAAGTTCTTGCAGGAAGAAACAAACCTGATTTTGATAGCGCTCTTTTGGCCCAGGAGAGCGTGGTTTACGACGGTACTGTCCTTGTCGGACCGACCACCTTGACCGCTCCCGATCAACCAGGGGTTGTCTTCTCAGGGAACGGTCATGCATCCGGCAGTCGACTAGCTGTCTCTTCATGCCTTCTATCTGAGGAAGAGATTTTAAGGATGAAGGGCCTCTCTTCCCGAGTGATCAGCACCTTATTGTCTAGCCGTAAGTTGGTTACACGAAAAATTTATGGGAAGGTGTGGAAAACGTTCTGCTCCTGGAAAGGGAAAAATAACAGGGATACGACCATACCTTCGGTTCTGGATTTCCTGCAGGAGGGGGCGGATGGGGGCCTAGCCATCAGCACTTTGGAGGTACAAGTCTCGGCATTGAGCGTATATTTGCAATACTCCCTGGCTAATGATCAACTAGTGAGTAGGTTCTTTAAAGCCCTTAAACGTATTAGGCCAGTGACACGCTGTGCAGTGCCTAAATGGGATCTTTCAGTGGTCTTACAGGGGCTGATGGTTCCCCCTTTTGAGTCACTACCGGATCTTCAGATCAAAATGTTCACGTTAAAAACCGTGTTCTTGGTAGCCATAACCACAGCAAGAAGGGTTAGTGAATTGCAGGCTCTATCTTTAAGGGAACCTTACTTAACGGTTTTTGACGACAGAGTGGTGTTGAGGACAGACCCGGCATTTTTACCGAAAGTCTCTTCGGACTTTCATAGATCTCAGGAGATCGTGTTACCTTCTTTCTGCAGTAGACCGGCTAATCAGAAAGAGGCAAGTTTTCACCACCTGGATGTTAGGCGCTGGATGCTAGAGTACCTTAGAGTGACTAGAACATTCAGGAAATCGGATGCTATTTTTGTTCTTTTTTCTGGAAAGGATAGGGGAAAACAGGCATCCAAGGCTTTCGATAGCTAGGTGGGTGAAGCTATGTATTCAGGAGGCTTATGGAGGCTAAGCAGGTTAGTGTTCCGCCTTTTTTGAATGCACACTCTACCAGGGGGTTAGCTACCTCGTGGGCAGAGAGGGCTGGTGCCACTCCGGATCAGATCTGTAAGGCCGCAACCTGGTCCAGTTTTTCAACGTTTGTTCGCCATTACCGGCTGGATTTGAATGCGGCAGCAGAGCAGACGTTTGGTAGAAAAGTGCTCCAAGCCGTAGTCCCGCCCTAAGTGGGTAAGTTCTTGTTTATCCTCTCGCAAGCTGTTCTGGAGGACGAAAGGGAAATTCAGAGTTACCGGTAGCTCTCTTTCCTATAGTCCTCCAGAACAGCTGGATTCCCGCCCTTGATATAGGAGTGGTGGTGAAATGTGATTTCAATATGATATTCTGTTGGTGTTTTGGTTCCTGTGTTTACAGAGTCTTCCTACGGTTCTCGATACAACTGAGGAGCCTAGGAGAGAGGCGTGCATTTTAAACAACTAAGGGTGACGTGTTTCCTGTTAAAAGGGGTGGAGCCCATCTCTCGCAAGCTGTTCTGGAGGACTATAGGAAAGAGAGTTACCGGTAAGTCTAACTCTGAATTTCATCAACCCTTAAACTAATCGCTGACAAATCCTCCTGTACCTTGATCTACAAAGAGACTGCATGAAATCAATTACAATACCAGTTTAGAGAAAGTAACTGTGAATACCTGTGGGTCCTGAGAACTTCGTATAACATCACATAACGCTGGTATAATCAGTGGGTCTTTGACGGCTTCTTTTAGCTGTGCTGTAGCCTAAGAAAAAAAACGTAAAGAGTAAAAATAATGAACAATTCTTCAACCAATTACAAAACGACGATGCACAATTCAGCAGCCACACTGGGAAGGCAAATTGTGCACGATTAATGTCTAGAGGGTTCCGATCACAAAACCCAGTTTACCAATCACATCTGGTTATGCTCCTGATGGAAAACTAGATCTGTCCTACATGTAGGTTGTAACAACACATCCTTCTATGCTTCCAACCCTCAGTAAAAAGATGAGAGGGCCTCAGTCTTGCAAGCTCTACGGCATAAATAAGGAGCAGTGGCTCATCAGGCATTATATACATACATTTTAAAAAAGTATAAAATATATAAATACAAATAATAATAAAAACAAACTCCTAACAGAAAATAAGGATTATATGGGCAAAAGCGGGTAATGGGAAAATACTCTGATCCTTTGACCACAACTGGCATAGAACAGTTCTTCAAAACAAGCTTATTTATTGTAAGCAGGTTTGTTTTTTTAACATTAAAGTGACACAAAATAATTTGGGGAAAAAAGGTGACAAATATGTCTTTGGGCCAGTTCACACCATATGCAGTTGTGATGCAGTCCGTTCAGATGCAGTCAGAAAAAGTACTGCTTGTCCTATTTTACCTGCATCTAACTGCACTAAACGCATCAAAAACAGACTGCATAAAAAAACAAAAACAAAACAGAATTGATTGTGGCATCATCCAGGGACATGCAGGGGGAAAAAACACATCACAAACGCGTCAAAGCGGATCGCAATGCAACTCCGTAGATGCACGCAGCTGTGATGCAGTTTCTGGTGTGAACTAACCCTTAATCTAGTCCAAATGTTTTGATGTGGTTTGAAATACGTACATGTTAAGTTAACCATACACGGCTCAAATTTCAGCTGAATCAGCCAAAATTAGAGCTATGGGTGGCCCCTTTGGCGCCACCTGGCTCCATAAAGAAGTTTATAAGAAAATTAAAGGAGGTGCAGCAGTGACTGCAGCTAATCGCATGCAGTCACTGCACAAGTATTCAGACAGTCACATGTGTCAGCTGTCAGAATACAATAGCCTGCAGTGTAGAGGAGTCCATCCATGCCCTTTTACTTGAATGTTGATTTCTCTTGTGTGGCCTTCGCATCTAAATCCGAATGGCCAGCTTTGGACCTCTAGCAGAGCACTGATTTCATATTTGTTGAGATGCCAAGAGTACCAATTACTTCCTGTATAGCAGGACATTAGTATTATTATTATTACTACATAGGATTTATATAGCACCAACAGTTTGTGCAGCACTTTACAATATGAGGACATTACAATCACAATACAATTCAAGACAAGATGGTAAGGAGGGCCCTGCCCCTGAGGACTTACAATCTAAAAGGGAGGGGCAAGTGATACATGAGGAGGTAGCTGTGTGGGGATGAATTGTTCCATCAGGACATATGTTAGTATGCACAAGAAATGTGTAAAAGCAGCTGCAGATATAAATACCAGTGACAGAATAACAAATGGCATCCTGAGACATGTCAAACTAATGGACTGTAGGAACAACTTACTCCCTGGAGGAATACTCAACTGACTACAATTTGTAACTGGGCTTGTTTGCATAATTAATGATGAACATTTGTGATCGTCTCAGTGCTGAAAGCTAGGACTGGTGACAGGTACACCTAATTGTAAAGTATAGTTCAATGCCAGTGATACTTAGACTTGTATTGATTTGTTTTTTTGAAAAGCATAGTGATCTGTAACAGTGGTCATACACTATATCATCTGATTGTTCAATCAGTATGAAATCAGGCAGACCCTTGCACTAGTTGATGGTAGATCTATCAGATTGTATGGTCACCTCCAATGACAGGGATAACTAGCCAGTAAAAGGAGTGAGAATAAAGAGAACACTGGCAGCACCCCAGATCTGCCTTCACTGGCACTGTACAACACTGTCTATAATCCAGCAGTGGCATGCCGCATTGGCACGACTGGCAGCTCCGTTGTCTCTGCAGTGCCCATAGCACGCAGCATCCCTGTCACAGTGCTGTCACTGAACTATGTGCCGCTACCCTTCCTCCCAGGATAGTCCCTCCCTTACCTGCTGTATGATGGCATTGTCCGGCTGTAACAGATTGGTTAGAATGCTCTCCAAGATGTTAGACATGATGACAACCGGTCACCAGGTGACACAGCCCAGAAAATCAGTCTTCCGGAGCTCAACACCCGGCGACTGACACTAGCTGTCTGTTCCACGTGGGTGCCAGGCTGTTGTGTGTCAACTACAGCGCCCCCTAGTGCCTGGGAGGGGCAGAGCCTTCATAACATCCGACCTCAGGCTGTGTTCCTTGGATGCAAGCACTGACTTTTTAACATCTTCTGCAGCATGTTCTCTCCTTTGCAGATGTTCCTTGTTTTAGTTTTGGGGACCAAAGAACCCCACTTTTCACAGCTGGTAGCAGCTACAGAATACAGGGGTTTTATTGCTTGTCAAACTTGCCTCTAGGAAGGGCTGTACTTTACTATAATGACACTCATGGGAAAGTGCCTAGGAGAGCTGGGTTAATAAAGTCATAATAAAGTCAAACTGTTTTTAAGCTATTTCAAATGCTCATGAAATCACTTACAATGGATGCTGCTTTTTGATGCTTAAATGTTTTAGTTTCTTGTAAAATTATCTGGTCTTGCTATCCTGTTTAAGGGTGGCTCCTTTCCCTTGCCGGGTCCAACTTACTAGCTGTGTGTGCTAGTAAGTTGTGTGTGTCTCCACAAACACAAAGAATTTGTCAAAATGTCGCCAGCACACCAATCTTTCAATTAGATAAGCAAAAGTCCATTTATTGAAGGAACATAGCCATTCAAAATATTTTTGAATGGCTATGTTCCTTCAATAAAAGGACTTTTGCCTCCGTCTTTTGGGATGAAGTTTTCGCCCTCTTGACCTACCTGGTCTCGGAATCAATGACTAAAGACCCGACTTTCGCGCTACTCAATTGTAAACCGACAGGTCACCCCAAAAAAGCCTTCAGACTCTCCCTCCACATCCTAACCTCTGCTAAAAGAGAAATAATAAACTGGCTCTCGAAGTCCCTTAACGTGTCACATGTAATTACACATGTCCACTGGATCATGGCCCAAGAGAAACGCACAGCACAACTACAACCCGACGCCTGTGCCATATATGAAACTCTCCAAACAGGTATTCAAGCGAGTGCTCCTTCCACTCTTGTGTACGGACCAGTACCTTCCTCTTCACCTCTTCTCCTCTTCTTTCCCAGCTCTACTATCCCCCCACCGGTTTCCCCTGTGTCTCCCCGTGTGTTTTATGTTGTAGCGTCTTAGGTATCACTATCATGATGTAAACGTCAATTGGCCCATAGGACTGCTCTTGAGTTGGAAGAATGCAATCTCCACTTCTACAACTCCAAACTACACCGGTTACAAACCCCCTACAGGCTAAGCAGCAAACCCTATCTGATAGTCCCCTTCACGGCCCTTTAACGCCTAGGATAAGACCGAATTTACACGATGGGGTGATGGGTTTTGATGCTACTTCCTATGAACCAATCCTGTGCCTTTCCATTACTGTGATACGTTTTATGTATTATCTGTCTAGTTGTATATGGATGACCTGCTAACCACAGGCATCAGTTGGCAGTATAACGTGTCTGTGTGTACTTGCACTATTAAACTCAATAAAAAATGTATTTGCAAAAAAAAAAAAAGGACTTTTGCTTATTAGATTGAAGCGTTGGTGTGCTGGTGACATTTCGACAAATTCAGTTCACTCAGGGTGCCATCTGTGCTCACTGCAAGCACCCACCTGTATATCAGGTTTTTCTATCCGGTAAGGAGTGCAACAAGACACTTGTTCTCCACAAACACAGGCACAGCAAGGCAAACCACTCTCCCTTCTCCTCCATCATTTTCCCGCTTCCAAGCTAGTAGATGAACAGCTGATGGGGGCTGGTCTGTCCTTTGTGACCTTGTACTGGACCGGAAGTTCAGGGATGCCGAGTTGGAGCTGTTTGGAAACATGATGACTGTAAGTGCTTGGGCAAAAATATAAAGACAGACTTTGCTGGACAATGTATATTTGTTTCATCTGGATTCATTATTTTAAAAAAATTAGAGTTTAAAACACATAAGCACAGCAAGGCACCCCTCTCTCTCCTTTCTTCTTCCTCCTTCCTCCCTTCTCCATGCTAGCACATGTGCGGCTGCTGGAGAAGTTGCTCACCCTTATGATCTTGTACTACACAGGATGTTCTGGGAAGCTGAGCGGAGAGAGTTGGGGTCAACTGTTCAGAAACATGATGACTGTGAGTGCTTAGGCAAAAATGTAAAGAAATGTAAAAAAAACCTTTGCTGGGCAATGTATATTTGTTTGATCTGGATTGAATAAAAGTTTGAGAATTTAATCTCACTTGACATATACGCTTCAAATTCTTGCTAAAGTCCTTTTAAGGGTGTACAAAATCCCAAGGCACCCCAGTCTAAAATGTACAAAACATAAATTAATAGATAAGTGGCTTTATCCCAGATAGGGGTCTGGTATGGAGTTTAAGGGGGGACCCACCCTAGTCAAAAACAGAAAAAAGTGGAATGCCCAGCCTTCCCATCAGAATTCGCCCAACCAACCAGCCTGTACCATGGGAAGGCAAGATGCTGTGCTACAATTTTGAGGCAACCCTTATTGAGAAAGGCTGCTCTATTGATCTGTATTGATCTGCAGGCTCAACGCAACGACACACAAAAAACAATCGTACAAAATGGCGTGCCTACAACAGCATGCTGCCTTTATGGCCCTGCTACCAAAAGCACTTTGTGGACTAGTCCATTTTCTTAGTTACTATCCTCTTCTTTTTATACCTATATTTGTTTTGTCACAGCCTTTCATTCATTTTAAAAAAAAGTCCATGCTGCAAATTGTAAATCAGAAAACGATAACAGTCATCTGCATACGCGTTCTGCGTCCATGACTCAAGGTATAAGGGCATCTACTTTGCGGTGAGTTAATGCATGTGTGTTAATGTGCGTTAAGGCAGCCCATTGAAAATGAAAGGGATACCAATGTACCCTGACCTAGTCAGATTGTACATTACACTTTTTATGTTATGCAATGCACTATTGTGCATTGCCATGTGTTGCAGTGTGCTACAAAGCAGGTGCGTAGACCCTGGGGTACCATTTCAAATGAATTGCACCACAATGCAGTAATACATAATATAATATTACGATGCAGAAGTGTAAATGGACCCTAAAAGAAAATGGAATGGCTTAGTAGACAGCATTTTCTGAAGCTGTCACCAAAGACAGCTTTTATTTTTAACTATGAAAAGTTTCCTGTAACAGGTAATCACACTTTGCCTTTACAGATGAACCAGCAATAAAGATTAATGATCTGCTTGGCATCTTCCCAAGACCATGAAAACACTGCTAAACCTATAGGTTGAACTCGATGGACTTGTGTCTTTTTTCAACCTGACTAACTATGTAACTATGTAAAACCCTAGGCAAGTCAGTTGATGTAAAGCTGCAGAAGTCTGAATCTGAGATCTGTGTTATTTTGGTGAGAAGAGGAAATGCATGTTATGGGGGCTTTTGTGGGTAAAGTGCAGTTATTCTTTAACTTCAAAATTAAAAGGCACAGTACACCTATAAGTGGTGTGTAAGCTATGGTTGGAATCTGGGTGGTGAGACCCACTGGTTTCTCTTGAAGGTTCTAGTGATGAGATTTTTGTGCCACAGTTCATGAATCTGTTACTCATCTCCAATGAATTTTTGTGTCCCCACTGCTCATTCTGAATGTTCCATTGCATAAAATATGTTTCAAAATCCAACAGGTGGAGTGGGACACCCTTGTTTTTGCTGCGGAAGGTATGCAGTTCTGAGAACTCAACCATTACCAGACCTCTCAATAAATGTGAGAAACTGATCCTTGACTTTTGTTGTGAGGGGACTGACCCTTCAATTGTAAGCATACGGTCCATAAGCCTCATTTACTATGCCTTACATGTCTCCTTTAAGGGCACTTTAGACACATGAGTTTTATTCAGAAGTACCTCCAGTACCTATACTTCTTGTTAGCACTCTCCCTGGTTGAAAGTGTAATTCATACATGCTTCAGTCCACATTCATTTGAAGACATCATGATGTGCAGTAAACACCTCTACCAATTCTTTGCTGTGCTTTAAAGCAGTGTTTTCTCAACCTGTGTAACCTCAGGACCCACATTTCTCCTTGGTCATTAAGTCGCAACTCAAGTCACACTGCAATAGAACCCACGGCATTGGGGTACCGCATGTTCTGGTGCGGGCCTACAAACTGTGGGAGGTGTGTTTGGGGCACCATTAAAATGAATGGCAACGCAACACACCTCCCACGCCTAAATGCACGGTAAGTGCGATTACGTGGTACAGTGCATTAAATCGCACAATCCGACACACTGACAGACATTCTAATACATACACACTCCAAAAAAAGTTACATTTAATACAATTTCTTTTAAGGTCCACCCAGTCTTCCTACCTTACGAGAACTGGAGTGGATCCTCAGCCTGGCCAGTGTGGGCTGCTGTGCTGTGACGGAGCTCCATCCATATGTGCATTGCTTGTAGAGCTCCCTTGCGTACCCTGTAGAGGTACCGAGATCCAGAATGTGATGGAGCTGCCTCACGGCCATAGTTCCGTCCCATATCAAGCTAACACTCAGCGCTGGGCAGCATATTTTGAGTGGCTGCTTGGCGCAAGAGTGTTGCGCTGGGGGAGGCAGGGGAGCCGCTCACCTAGAAAAGTGGAAGGCATGTGGCGACCAACTGAAAACGGGGTCGTGACCCACTCTTGGGTCACAAACAACCGGTTGAGAATCAAGGCTTTAAAGGTACACTGCAGTAAAAATGTTAAAACCTTGAAATGCATATAGAAAGTGCTGCCTACTTGCTTGGGAGTTCAGTTTTTCATTCAAGATGTGCTGTAATGCAGTAGTCCACTAGATACCCTGTTTAAATCTGGTGATCCTGGAACATCAGAGAGTGTATGTAGAACGGATGTAAAACCAGTGTCAGTACCAAGAAGCTTCTCACAGCCTCCAAACAGATTCGAAGCTGCCTTGGAAGTCAATGCTGCTGGCAATGCAGGCAGCAAATATAGACATCAAGAAGTATTTAATCACTGAAACTCACTTTTGGTGTGAAGGGGCTGCTAACATCTCAGTGTTGATAACTGTAAATAAGCAGAAGCTAACGAAAAGCTATTTTATAAAGAGTAGAATTATAAAAAATTGGATTTTGTGAATTTGGAGACCCACAGTTCCCAGACCCTGCGCATTCTGTCGTGCAATTTAGCAGTTAGGTTCTTGTTAACCAGGGCCCACTGGAATCTATGATTGACTGCTGCTATGCCAAGTTTGTCCGAGAGCCAATCTCCAGCAATCACCTGTTTCGTGGCTGTCAACACATGGGTCATCAAAATAAATTGGTGTTTAGAGAGATGTTATGGGCAAACATTTAGTGAAACTTAGGTTTTATTGCAGTCTGTGTCCTGTGAGGGAGATTCATTCTCTCCATTTTTCCTGGTGACCATTATCATGAAAGTATAGGAAAATTCCAAATGTTGGGTTGTCATCAGAACAGGAATAGACTAGTTCTGGTAATCCTTCTGACCACCTGGCATTTCCTCTCCCTTCCTGTTGTATCTAGCAGAGATGGAAAAAAGCTGTCTGGCTCTCCCTTATTCTATCCTAAGCTAAAAAAAAAAGTTCTGGCTCCAGTTCCCACTTTAAAGCTTTCTGTGTGCCTCAATGGATGAGAATGAAAATAGGTTTAAAGTAGAACTAAAGGCTAAATGGATGATATTTAGTGTGCTAAAGCACAGTGTAGCAAACATTTTGTTTACGTGATTTTCAGCTTTTTTTTTACATTTCAGATGCTACTGATCGCCTCCCCTTATTATCTGTCTGCTTGCACTCACTCCAGCATCAGCTGCACATCATTGTTTTGGACTAGTTGACTTCTAGTGGCAAGGGTGGACCATGCCTGTGCAGTGTGTGTTGGTATTACCACTTTTAATCTCCACTGGTGACAGGATGACAGCAGAGCAACACAACTGGGAGATACCCGTCTCCCTAAATAGCTGGACAAGGACCTTTATGACAGATTACCAGATTTTCTTTTCATAAATGTTACAAATGTAAAAATATTTTCAATAACATGCTGTAGCGATTTAGTTTCGATCTACTTTAAAAGCAGAATACTACTATGTTCCGATATTAAATAAAATTAAAGTAGATCTAGCTTCCTATGCTATACGGAAACTATCCTGGGTGGGCAGAATCAACGCGATAAAAATGATGGTTCTCCCAAAAGTATTATTTGTGTTTCAGATGATACCTATTGAGGTCCCCAGGTCGTTTTTCCAAGTGATGCAGAAAATTATTGCTAAATATATATGGCAGAATAGGAAACCGAGACTGTCTGGGAATATGTTGAGCAGATCAAAACAGGAGGGGGGACTTGCCCTCCCTAACCTTAGGTTATACCATCAGGCAGCCCAAATGACTAGATTAGCGGATTGGACATATGGGACTGGACAGAAAGGGTGGGTGGATTAAACACCCCTTATAATGTATTATTGCTGGGATTTTTTGTTCCTCTATAGCTGCTAATGTTCTGCAGTGTGCCGGTGTATTATATATTGGTATGCTGTAGAGCTGCAACAATTATTAGATTAAGTCGATTAAAATCGACGATGGAAAACGTTGGCAGCATTTTCCATCGTCGATTCATCGGCTAAAATTTAAATTTCCCGCTCGCCACTCATGCCCGCCTGTTCGTGGCTCCATACACGAGTTACGCTACGCATGCCGCGGACACCGCGCACACCCGCCCACCGCAAAATATACCACCAGCAATAGGACTACAAATCCCAGCAATACATTATATGCAACGCAATGCAGAATACCAGCAGTTACAGAGGACTACAAATCCCAGCAATAGTGCATTATAGTATAATGCTGTACTATTCCTGGCATTTGTTGTATTCCTATATAGCTGCTGGTATTCTGCATTTCGCCGTATAATCATTATACAGCGCACTGCAGAATACCAGCAGCTATAGGAGGACAACAAATCGCAGCAATAATACATTATATACAGCGCAATGCAGAATAACGCCAGCTACAGAGGACTACAAATCCCAGCAATAGTACATTATAGTATAATGTACTATTGCTGCATTCCTCTATAGCTGCTAGTATTCTGCACTGCGCCGCTGTATAATGTACTATATTCCACACATTTTTTTTTTTTTTACTTCCACCGCGCCAAGCTTGCTCCTGTGATGGACTACAATCTCAATAGAAACTAGTAGTCCATCACTGGAGCCTTTTTTTTTATATCCGATTAATCGAACTTAATAAATCGGCGAACGAATCGATTATTAAAATAATAGTTAGCTGCACCCCAAGACTGGATATCAAAGGGGACAAGAATTTACTTTTCACATTGTTGGATAATTGGAGAGAATAGTTATTGTGTGAAAATTCTCAACTCTAAGGGAAAAAGCCTCAGTCTTTAACACCAAAACATTCTACTATTCTCTTTTTGGGAGATTTCAGTTGCACGTTAAACACATGTATGACTGTTAGATGAACCATATTCAAAGAGAAAGAAATGCAGTTCTTCTGCAACAATATTGGTGTTATGCTTTGTTACTTTTGACTTAAATAATATTTGAAGTGACGCTAAACTCTAAGGAATTAAATCTTAAAGTGACATTAAAGTCAAACTTTCCCCCCCCCCGCAATATTAATGTTAGCACTTACCTTAAGGCTGAGTTCACACCTGGGCGTTCTACATAGGCGTGTTTTATGCTCGTTTTTTAAGCACGTTTTTAGCACATTTTAAGCACCTTTTTTGTTCACTGAAACGCACGTTCGACACTTGTTTTTTAACCTCCCTGGCGGTTTTTACACTTCGCGCCGGTTCCGCCCCCCCGCGACGGGGTCGCTTGCAAGGGACGGAACCCGGAAGACGGCAGCTCCCGGAGGACACAGCAGGGATCGCGGACAAGGTAAGACATAAGCTGTATTCCCGAGTGTGGCTCGGGG